TCTTCCCTAAGTGGCCACAGGATGTTTCCACCCCAGCCACGGGAACATTTATTTGGCTCTTTACTGGGCGAGGCCTGGCACTTGCAGAGGGATTGCAACACCATGAAACCCAAGGAGGATGGAGCAGAAGACGTGGATCTGCACCAGGAGCCTGCAGGAACCACACTCCATGGCTGAAGAGGACCTCCCAGAGCCAGACCTGCAGAAAATGGGTGTCCCCCACCAGCCATCACACACAGACTCACAGCAGCTCCACACACAGCTCCTTCAACTTGCCAGGAATACATGAATGTGGTGATGCTACAAGATGCTGCCAACATCTGTGCTGGGCTTATTTCAGAGAAGGAGTGCTGGATTGATCAGCATCCTTCAGCTGAATTATTCCCAGTTAGAGCTGGGATGCTTTGGATGAAATGGGGAGCCTATTTCTACCTGGTGCTTTTGACAGAGAATCTTTTAAATCTGACAAGATAAAGAGACAAGCTGGGAAAAATTAAGTATGACCACAGGCAGCAAATCTGAGCTAAGGATCAAACAAATCTGCCCAAAGAGTTTTGCGTTTCAGCCCAAACCCTGGAGAAAAAGAGCAGATTTCTTTGATTCTTGCAACTTCTTTCTCATCAAACAAGGTGGCTGCAGCCTTCAGGGATGCTTTTGGATAGGGAAGGCACCTGGCAATGCAGTGACCGCTGTGCCAGCCCATCTCTGTACCAAGTTTCCCCACCAGCCCTGTAAAATGAACTGCAGCTGCAGAGATGTAGTTGCTCAGCATCCTTTGCCAGGCTGGCTCAATGCAGAGAAAACATCGGGTTATTGCCATCTCAGCCACAGCAAGCTCGGAAACGAGAAAACCCAGGGAAAACAGGCTTAAAAAGTTGGGTATCCTTCTCCAAAAAGCTCAGAGAGGGAAGGTTTTTAAATGATTCAGGATTAGAGGAAAGCTACTGTCAGCCCATCCAGCACTGCTCCTCCAAAGATGCGTGCTCCACTTAATTTTGCCTCTGCGGATGCATGACTGAACCTGACTGACGCTCTTAGCTAAATTTTAATACTTAAATATTTCATGGGCAGCTGTTCCCAGCAGGCCACTCTCCCCACTCAATAATAGATAGAGCCACTGGTTAAAAGACTTGGGGGAGGTTATCTGAGGCCCTACGGAGATGCTCACAGGTGCTCAGCCCACCTCTTGGCTTAGAACCACCATGAAATCTGGGATGCGATGGGGTCTGCAGCCCCTTCTCCTCCTGCCCCATGGGGTGGCCCCTTCAGGATGCCAGCTTGGAGCTGCTCATAGCAAGCACCAGCACAAAGGAGAGGACATCAGATCAGAAAGTCTCCAGCTGAGCTTTCAGTAGCCTTCTGCTAAAGAGAAAGGAAAGCCTTGAGCTATTGTTATACGTTGTGTTTCCACTTCACAACAGACAGCATTTTGTCTGAATGCAGCTCTTCCCTGTGATATCTGCTGAAAGCCCTCAAAGATTTCTACAGAGATGCTTCCTGCTCATCCACTCTCACAAGAGGCTCTAGAGACCCTCTTCAAAAACATGCATTTTGTATTTTGCAGAGAGGGCAGTGAGCCAGCTCTGGCAATATTCACAGCCACATTAAAACCAGAGGAGCACCTTCAAGGGCTAACAGGAGCCGTCTTGGAAGGACATGGGACTTGGCCAAGTCTGCAGCAAGAATAAAACCCCCAAATTCTCCATTACCGGACTACTGCTGTAACGACTAGATGAAATGTGCCTATAAAAATCTCCTTTCAGTAATACAAGAAGAGCAGAAAACCTACACCAGTAAACGGTGAGACTTAATCGCCCAGAAACCATGGAGGTCAAGGATTTCAGAGAGGTTGCAGGAGGCACTGGGTATCTGTATGCAGGGCCAAGGTACGCAGTTATACTGGTTGACAGTCAACTAAAAAATTGCATAAAGATTCATGTATTTGGGCTACGTCAGCCTTATTAAACAGAACGACAGCTAGTGTTTGTGTGGTGGGAAGAGGGAACCACCAATTCCATCATCTTCCTACTCTTATACCTTTTTCTGAAGCAATGTGCTTCAGACCATGGACCAGAAAAGTTCTGGCAGTTTCTATGTTTTGTGTTGAAGCGAATGCTTTGCACTTGGTTCTTAAAGCACTTTCCTCTCCAAGTTCATTGGCATTTATTTTGAGGCATACCCTTTCTACAGTAAGAAGTCATGAATGCTGCCATCAAGGTGGATCAGCAGTGTCTCCTCTACAGAGGCCATCAACCCAAGCCAGAAGAGTGCAGAGAGAAGCACACACCCTGCACGGTTCTCCCCTTTCCTCCATCACTCCCTTTTCAATTCCCTTGACTATTTGGAGTAGCTGAGGGTGGTTTCTCTCATCCCTAAGCAGAGCTGGGTGCCACCACCAGCCACTGAAGTCTCTTTACTTCCTCTCCCAGTCTCACCCTTCACATGGAGTTTGTCATTTGCTGGAAGCCACTTCATGTGTCCCACAGACAGCTTCCCTTCCTCTTGGTTTGAGGGAGCAAAACCCTCCACTGTGTTAAACCAAAGCTTTTTTAACCATTTATCTGATGACTGGAGCTATGCAAAGAGCTTCATGCCTAAAATGAAACCTCATCGAGCTCTTGATTTCTTGCCCCCCCTGGTTTTTGTTCATAACCTGCCAGCAGTAGGGGCTTGGATTTACTCGATGGAAGAGGATCCTTTTCACAGCTGCTTTTCACCTCCCAAAGCCTCTGTTGCTGCAGACCCCCTGCTGCACAAGGAAATTTAAAATAAGCTCGGAGAATTTTATTTTCATCTTGGTGGGTGGGAGAGAGATGGTGATACATTTTTCTCCCCTCTCTGGTTTTAATTATGATCAAACATTTCAGTTTGATGAAATTTCATGGAGTCCTGAGCCCACTTGGTCTTTCAAGTCTCAGCTCGGGAGGAAGAGCTGCCTTGGTTTAAACACCCCAGTGCACACCTCGGAGCGCCTCGCTCATCGGAGGTGAAGCCGGGCCATTTTTCAGCGGGTTGGCTGCTGGTGCAACATTTTGGATTGCATTCAGCAACACGTCCCTTGGGGCTTTTTAAATTCTATTTAGCAATTGAATTATCAGAGGCTGTTACTCAGGAGCAGTTAATGACTTTCAAGTTGCTGGGACCTAAATCTAACCGTAATCCCTGTCACCAGAGAGATGTAGCACACTCCTACAGCCTCATGTTGGAGCTCATGTGGGGACGGCTCCCACTCACCTGCTCTGAGCAAGATGACCTGGTCATCCAGGGGCAGCTCGGAGAAGTGGGGGATCCTCTTGGCCCACTCCACCAGGGTGAAGAGCTGTTTGTCCGCTGCCTGGCAGATGTTCGTCACTGGGTCATTGGGCTGCCGAGAAAAGGAGATTTGAAAAGCTGAGAGAAGGTAAAGCAGGGAGGAGAGGAGAGGCTGGAGGGGCAGCAGAAGGGGCTTGAAGTCGGGAGCACCCCAGACGTGGATGTTATTAGTCACAAGCAAAGGAGGTGACTTGGCTTCTCCACAACATGGTTTTAAGTAGTTTTTAGCAAGGTCCGAAACAGGAACCAGGAGTGTTGAGACCCAATATCCATCATGCTGACTGATGAACCAACGAGCTCCAGCCCAGGGAAGGGCAGGCTCCTGCACCCACTCCCTGTGCCAGCACCTCCCAGCTTGATAAACCAGCACCAGAGGAGGCATTACAGAAAAAAGAGAAAAAGCCTTTCCTTTGAAATATTATCCAGTAACAAAAACCATCTGCTCTCAAGGAGGACAGTCAGCCTAAACACACCAAATCCCTGTTTAAAGGAACTGCTAACAGCTCAAGTGGGCTTGTGATTAGGAACTAGGAGAGCCTGTCGAACCCTGGGGAAGGCAGAGCTCGCTCGTGAAGTGTGTACAGAGGGTTTACCTCTGGACAGGGATGTATAAGCCCCTCCACATATCCCACAGTAATCCCTGCTGATATCTAGCAGCTTTGATTATACAATTATTTTTCTTCCATGTCCTTAAAAGAGCAGTTTCCAAATCGGAGGAGGAGTGTTTACTTCACCCCTGGATCGCAGGGGGAAGGGGTGTGAATTTGGAGGCAGAGCAGACATGAACACCAGCGTAAACTCTCCCTTCTGCAAGTCTGGGTTTCGGCAGGACAAGGCCATTCCTCACCATGAGCTGGCTGTGCTACAGCAAACCCCTCTCCCAAGCTGGGCAGGTGAGGAGCACACTGCTGAACACCACTGCTGCTCCCCAAGGACGTGCCCCGGATCCCTGCCCGGTCCCCTCTGCTGTCCCCTGGCAGCAAACACAATCTCTGTGCCTCAGTGGCCAACGTCTCCCATTCTACAAGCTTAAAATAACCAGCATCTGGCAAGCCGAGGGGCATTCGTCTTTGAAGCATTTTCACCTGTTGCATGCAGAGATGGATGGGAATGGGCTGGCGTTCAGCAGCACAGCTGAGGAGCAGGGAGCATCATTATGGGGACCGTCCCCTCCTCGCTCTGCCCATCTCTAGCAGCTCCCTGAGGGGTGCAAGGGCAGAGGAGTCTCCCTGGGGAAGGAGACGTGAGCAGGGACTGTGTGCTTCCCCAGGAAAGGGAGATAAGACAGGATTTCCTCTGGACAACAGGAAAACCTTACATTGGGTGTGGGGAGGAGCTTTGCAGGGTTAAGCATTTCACTGGAAACACAGGGAACATCAGCATTCAGAGGCATTTCCAGAAAGAGTAAGAAGGGACACTCTTGACCCAGGCTATAGAAACATCACCAACTTCAAGTCATCCCAGTTTGGTCACCAAGTTGGAGCACCCAGGTGTCCCCATGGCGGGGGATGGAGATGGAGCCCTGCACACCCCAGAGCAGGACACGATCTACGGGAAGACCCCATGCTCCTGCAGAACCTGATCCGCAAAGCAGCAAGTGGCTGCACAGTCCGATGAAAGGGGTCTTTTGAGAAATTTAGATTTTTTTACCAAAGGGGTTGCTTCTGGGCAGGTTGTCACCGGCTCCAGGACTCGCCCCCACGCAACAAGCTGGGCTCCAGCTCTCCCAGCCTCTGGGAGGAGCTCTCCCAGCCACTGGCTGCATCGCCAGTGAAGCACAAGCTGTACCCAGCCTCCAGTGCTGCCTACAAAGCCTCTGTGAGGGGCCCAGCCTTTAATTACACCTCAGATGACAGTTCCTGGAACCACGATGGTGCTTCCTGGCAGAACTTAATCACCGTAGCTCGAGAGGCAGCTAAAAGTATCGTCCCCACAGGCCGAAACGACCCTGTTTCCAGAAGGGGATCTGCAAAGCAGTACCAGAAACCATAGTAAGCAAATCCCCTCCTGCAGTAAATAGCAAGGGCACGGTGCCGGAGTGTGACAGAATGAAAGGACACGCGGGCACCTGATCCTTCTGGAAAACCGGAGCCCGGAGACATCTTCCAGAAAATGGTGACTTGAAACCGGCTGCTCAAAGGCCAATTAAGAGCTAATGGGGATAACACCTCTCAGTTACAGGCTTTGCCTTTCTGTGGCCAGGAGCCCATCCGAGGTGGTGCTTACACAGAAGGAGCCCAGCTTAGCAGCTGCCGGGGACACGGGGCAGAGGCAAATCTATCCCTGTTCCCCATCACACGGCCTGGGGACAGGTACAGCCAGCATGGATGGCCAGTGCCCAGCTCCTGAGGGGCAGGGACCATGCAGGCTCTTGGGGTGTCCTGGGACACAGCCACGCTCATTTACAGCTTGTGGGAACCTCCACAGGGTGTAATCGCCTTTGCCACAGAAGCCAGCCAACACAATTAGCAGCTATTTGCAGTGGCTGAAGAGCTGTTATCAGGGCCTCACTGGAGCAATTACTTCAAGTGAGTGTTTTAGTGATGGTCATCAAAATGCTGAGTCTTGGCACTCTCCTACCACCCAAGGCAGAAGGAGAGCAGATTTGCGGAGGCAGATCCCCTCTTAGTTGCTTTCTGCCTTGCTCGGCATCCTTCCCCATTCTGTCTGTGCCTCCCACAAAGACTGCACCCCACTCCACTCCCCCTTTCCCCACCATGGGCTTCAAACCATAAACACAGCCCATCCTCCCTGGTGTCAGTCAAGGTGTCAGGGTTCAACCAGAGTCAAGGCATCAGCTCAGCCAGAGCTGGGATCTCTGCTCTCAGAGCAGCCAGGGGACCAGGGCACCAGGTAACGGTCACCGGCATGAGAGCATCTGGGAGAGGAGGCTGTGAACTCCTACAGCACCCAACCATCTCCAGCCCAGACCAGCAGAAACATCCTTGCAAGCGCTGGAGCATTCCGGCTCCGCATTCGATGCAGACGGACTAAGGTGCAGAGGCACAAATAAAAGGACCCAACATACCAGGCTAATAAGAAACAGCTTATGCTTTACCTCATGTCTATTAGGGACTGAATTTGTCTGCCTTTCCATCACATGGGCTCTCTGGGGAGGGCTAGGAGGAGGGCAGCTCCTCCGTCTACCCTCTCCTCATCCCGTGGCCTCGTCACTGCAAGCTGCTGATCTCATACATCTGCTAAACCTGCTACAAATGTCACCTCATCGACAGAAGCGCTCGACAATAATAGGGCATTTCAACAAGCCTCCTGCTTCTATTTAGATGCAACACACATCCTTGTTCACAGTAATGCGTGTTGAATTATGCAGGAACCAGCTTTCAATTTGCTACAAGAGGCTGAGGAGACGCAGTGCCAGACGAAGCCATTTATTTCAGCTCGCTCTCTGGGGTTTGTTTTCAAGTCAGCACATGGCTGGCTGCAATCCCCCTGAAGTATTTTTAATCCTGATAGCCGTCACAGCCTCTGCAAGCCCCTCGCTAATCATGGCTGAGCTGCCTCCTTCAAAAAATGCCCCTTGCAAAAGCTCCATGGCAATGGGACGCTCTGGCTGGAGAGCATCACTGCCTGTGGGGTGCAACTGAGATCCCAAATGCAGAGGGGTATCTGCTTTTGGACTGTTTTATGGAGAAATTGTCCCTGTCCTTAGCAGGAAGCCTTATGCACTGGAAAGCCTCATGTAGCCAGCCATAAAGTGTCCTCATAGGTAAAGGCCAAAGGAGCATCCCATAGAGGAAGTCAAGACTTAGACTCCTACACGGAGCAGCCTGATTCTGAGATCCCTTGTCAAGCCTTGCTGGATAAGGTATTTCCAGATCAATCCTCCAAGTCTCATATAAAGAAAGACATAAAGTATTATTGTGGCAGAAAATAAATACTGCAGAGTCCTTCCACTTCCTAGAAATAGTTGCATTTCATCACCTTGGCCTCACAGATACCAAGCACAGAGCAATAGGAAAGGCAGAGGGATATTTCAGCAGATGTTCCTGCTTGCCGGGGTCATGGTCCTCACTCCAGCATCTTCCCTCCCCAGCGGCAAGCCTGGCAATAGCCAGGGGGGTACTGGGGTAATTAATACCCTCTGCAGCCCTGATGACACCTTGCAGTGATGGTCCCCCCCCTGCTAACAGAGCATGCCATGGGATGGTGTGTGCCTGTCAGAAGCCATCTCCATAAGGCAAAATGAGAAATTAAACATGTGCAGCTGACCTCGGCCCCAAAAGCACAGGCATAGCGGCACATGGTGATTTATTTTTTAACTCTTCCCCTCCATTTCTTTACTTTGAGACTTCCCAGTCCCATAGTATCCCAGGGCTCCCTTATTAGACAGGGATAATTAGCCCCACTCCTGACCCTCCTGCTATTTTAGTTGCCTTAATTGTACTCCTACCTTTTGGAGGCATTCCTCTGTTCCCATTACTTTCATGAGAACTGGGGCTAGTGAGGAATGGGGATTACATCCTAAATGTGGGACTGCATCCTAAATGCTGCCCAGTCTGGGCAGCAAGTTCTCCTCAACAGGGCCCTTCATGAGGGCTTCACATAGCATCTATCCTAAAAACAGAATTTCAGAGGACAGGCTGGCTCACACATTTGGAGGCAGCAGCTGTGCAGGGAGGCATCCTCTAAGCAAGGCTATAACCTGCTGATAAGGGGATCTCTTTGGAAAGGGGCCAAGACGGTTGCCCTCATCACAGCTTCTTGCTCTTTTCCTATTTCCCTGTCACCCATCTCTTGTTCACATAAGGTCCCGTTAGAGCCTGGTTGCTTTGAGCAGGTCCAGCTATAACACAAGCTTGGGAAAGGAACTTGAAAGCAACGTTCTCCAGGTTTTCCCTTCTTTGAGCCAAGCAGCTGTATAATTCTGCATCTGAAAAGTCACACCCTGATTTTACAGCTCTTATCTCTTTGCACTTCAGCCACAGAGCTCTGTTTATTGGCTTGACTGAACTCTGAGCCTTTCAGAGCATGGAGTCTCTTCCTGTCTTTTAGCACTAAGGGCTGTTAAATAAAATCTTCTCTGTGAGCCCTAATTATGCCTTACAGTATCTGCTCTTTCGCTGTGGCAGCGAGACAGACAAGCACCAGTGCTGGAGCAGAGGGGTTTGCTTTCTTCATGCTTTTATCAAAGCTCACACATGGTATCTACAGCAATGTTGCATTTCTGAGCTCTACTTATTCCTTTACCCACCAGATAACCCCTCTCTGACCTAGGCTTACTGCTGTATCCATGTTAGCTCAATCCTGAGGCCGCACAAGCCATTCCTTCTGCCCCCTGTGCCCAGGATGGGGATGGGGCCTTACCGAGCTTGGCGTCAAGCCCATATTTGCTTCAATGTACGTCTCTGTCTTTGGCTCCACTGCGAGTTCAGCTTCCAAGATCTTTTCCACGGGCATGTCCTCATTGGCGCTACTTGTCGACTCCACTTCATTCTCGTTGCGGTCCTTCCCCCGCTGCCTCTCCTCCTGGACAGCTGGAAGGGGACAGAGAAAGGACAAGGTCAGCCTAGGGCTCCCAAACACGGTGTCACGGGCTGAGCAGGGACCCCAAAGCTCCACAGATCTACAGGCATTACTAAAACCTAAAGCATCCTCAGTCCTTGTGACCTGTAGAAGCACACACACATCTGATGCCTTATTCTCCCACCTATGTGGTCAGTGGTTTCGGGCTTGGGTAGTCCAAGGGACGTGAGGTTTGAGGATGCCACTGAGCAGCCCTGGATGCTCTGTGGGAGCACAGTGAGCAAGGGTCCCGCTTAAACCTTGCCTCTGCTGGGAAACTCCTCTTTCTGCAGAGGGAGAAGTCCTGGAAGCAAAAGAGTTAAAGCCATGTGATGAAGATCAAAGGGAACTACACTGCAAGTCACCACAGAAGAGGGCAATGGATGAGTACTGCTGCAGAAGAGGAAAATGAGGTGAAGTGATAGTATAAGGGAATCCTAAAGAAAAGAGAAATTTGTCAGGTTAAAGCTTAAGTCCAGAGTTTAACCATCTTCTGAGCCTGTTAGTGTTGGACCTCCATGGAGGTCACGTCCTGCATCTGGCTGCCTGGTCCAGCAGTGATGCCAACAGCTGCTGCAAGGCTCCATGGCAGGACAGGGATGCTGAGGGACAGGAACTGCGTTCTGCTGGCAGCTGCTCCATGTAAACCAGCACCCAGCCCTTGTCCCTGGGCAGTTTCTAAACAGACAGGAGAGACCTGTCCCAAATCCTGCATGGTAGGAGTATCCAGCCAGAAGCATGTCACATGCTGATGAGTTAATGTCTGAAGAGTACACAGATCAAAAACACTTATTAGATACTAATAACATTATTAACAATCTCCCTTTGAAACCAGCACACAGACTTTCCCTGAACCTGGAAAGTAGATTTATGCAGACAGTTACATCAGTAACTCTCTCAATCATCATGTTACATACAATAAATCACACACTTCTCCACAGACCATGGTTTCCCACAGTACGTTTTAGCCCAGTCCAGCTGAGAACAGCCCAAGAAACAGGAGTTTCCAACTCTGGTCATGAGAGACAACTCCCTGAACCTATCCAGCTCTTTGTTGAGGACTGAACGAGCCATTCAGTAATGTAAGAGGCCTGCTATTTATTGACAATGATCCTAACACTTTAGTTCTCTGCTGAATTTGAAGCTGGTTATATGATGTTAGGAGAAAGCAGCAGGGGCACAGGTTTTGTTCTAATGAAATCAGAGCTGTCTGTAACAGAGCAAGGCTTTGTAGGCAATCAGTGGGACCAGCTCTACGCCAAGTGCAAAAATAAAACCTAGAATATAAAACTTATTTCTTAAAAAACAGGAAATTAAGACACATGCTAAAGAAAGTCCTATATGGACGCTGATCCCATTAACCCAGCTCCAGCACGCAAAGCCCGAGGCTGATTTCCACTGCTCGCCCTACCCTCCTGCAGCCACCGTCGGTGCAGCCTTGCTGTTTGCTGCACATCAGTAGCATTCAGGCTCCTTCCATGTGAAAGCTGTCATGCAAAAAGAGGTTATTTTTTTTGCAAACTGCTCTTAAGTTTACAGGCTGCAGAGGCTCCTGAGGCCCACACAATGTTTCCTGCTTGGTCTACCAGAGCCAGGTAGGCTGCTGCTGTCAGAGCTCAGATTCGTGCCGCAGCTTTTGTCCATCTGGCTCTTGTCTGGCACGGATTCTTCTTTTCACTTTTTCAGGCCAACATAAAATCCTGCTTAAATTTCTCTCCCAACCCATACTCCTGTTTTCTCCATCATCAAAAGGCTAGACATTTTTGCTTAATGCCAACCCTTCCTCAACAGTACAGATGCACCAGAACTTCTTTGGGCACATCAAAAGAGATAAAACACCTACTAAATAACAGAAAAGCCTAAGAGAAAGGCAAATCTGCAACAAATGGGATTTTGTAAAATGACTTAAATGCCAGAGACCTGAGGCACAATCACAGCAGGTCTCAAGGATAAAGGTACAAAGTGTGGTTCCTCGCCCTGAGATCAACCACCTCCACTGCCAGGGCCACTCCACCAGGAAGTGGTGTTAGTCCAAAAAACACATCCACCAGTGACTCAGCTGGACACTGGGATTTGTGGGGAAGGGCTGCAGAGGTCTGGGGATACAGTAGCTACCTAAAGCCTTAAATCTGCAAATCTCAACATTATCAAAACCAGCAGTCAAATCCTTGGGGGTGAAGAATCAGATGCACTTGAAGGGTTACAGGAGAGTGAATCCTACAGGTCATCATGACAGCATTTGCCAGTGATCAGGCTGAATCTAGCTGATACAAACAATAGATGGAAGAGACATATGGAAAGAGATTACACATCTGAGTAGTTATTTCTATTGATCTGTGCCTTGAGCTGCTACACCAGGAAGTTGGTGCTGCTGCTCCTGGCCAGCAGAAAGCTGACTCATCCCAGCCCCATGCACACCCTGGATGCTCACCCCTGCCCAGCTGGCTGCCGGCAGCAGGGACGCCCCGGGCAGAGCAGATGGTGTGTTCACACTGGGTATGTCAGCTCCAAAGATAAACCAAGCCCTGGCCAGGGAGAGCATTACCTGCTTTGCTACCTTGGTGTTTCCAAGAGCAGACAGCCCTCTCCAAAGCCTGGCATCACTCTGCAATTCTCCCTGCAGCTTGGATGACCTCCATCTATCCATCCCAAATCCCATCTCTGGGCTGCTGAAAAGCAGTCCCTGTTTCCCAACCCTGAGCTCAGAGATGCCTTTATCCTCCCTGCCTGCTCGGAAGCAGCTTCATGCACAGGTCCTCACTGAGGTGAGCATTTGCAGGACGAGGTGACTGTACTACGTGAAGTCCAGTTGCTGTTCGTGCTCAGGACCCACATTACCAGGTGTTTATGCATCCAACCTGTTCCTCACCTAGTAAAATCACAGGACATCTGCCAGACCCTAGTTGTTGGATGTAGCTTTTGGGAATGCCTACAAGACAGTGACTCCTGTAGATGTTGTAGATGCTGTTTTCTCTCGAGGCAGCTCGAGAAAAGAAGTGGGAACAGCTTCATTCTTCATGTGAACAACAGGTTCACTCCTGCAACAGCTTTGTGCCTGCCTTGGGGTGCTGTTGTCAGTGCACACACAAACAGTGGTCATCTTACTGTCACCTCGTTCCTTCAGGGGTTTCCCTCTTCAGGATCCAGAGGCTGAATTAATTTCAAATCTAGTGTCCTCACTTTCCTAGTTTCAGATTCACCCTGAAGCATCACACAGCTCCTGCAGTGGTGAGCCCAATATGCTGTCCTGAAAGGCGCAGGGATTTGCAGATGGCATTCAAGACTCACATAATCTGTGGGTTCCAAGACATGGACATCTCTGCAGATGCTCCATGCTTGCAGATGTGGTCCAGCAGAACTGAGAGGACATCCAAGGTGCAAGGAGCAGGCAAAAGTGTCCAAGAACTGCCAGTCACACAGCTTCTGAGCAGAGTCCTCCATGTCTCTGATCTCCTCTGGTGTAAGGCCACTAGTAGATGTCTGCAATTCACTACAATCAGTATTTCCCCAGACTTGCTGAGGACCTGAAAAGTCAGCGCTCCTTCTTAGCAGAGATGCTGATTTCAGAACAGAATGGGGACTGTGTTTCTTGAGATACGGGAGAAAAATAGCAGGTGGGGTAGGGGGAAGAAAATAAGGAGCAAGGATTCAAGCAAATCAGTTTTGTTTTTTTTTAAATCATGCAATATGGGCTGTTTGTGTGAAGGAAAATCTTCAGTAGTGAAGAGACCTCTCACCATAATGACCTAGGACCTTATCTCTGAAGTCCACTCCCCACTCCCACTGGGGATTAGTCAAATAAACCACAGTGGAGATGACAAAAATACATTTTTTGACTGGATTTGGTTTGGGAGCTGGGGTTCTTTGTGGCTTTGTTTTTTATTTAGCTTTAAAAAAAGAGAAATACAAATGTGGTATGCTGCATAGCAGCTTGTCTGGTAATACTGAAATGGGAATACCTTTTTCTTCTCGGCTTCCCAGCAGTCTTGTGGACCGGGATGGATGGTGCTCCATCCCTGTAATACAGTAAAATTTAGAAACAAAGATCATTATATCATTTGGTTCTGGTTGCTTATGCTGGATTTTTCTCTTCCTCTCATGTAAGTTGGAAACTCACAGACTAGAGAAAAAAACAGAGGGGTTCTGCAACTGGCTCCTCCCACCCAAGTTCTCCCTTGCAGCACAATCAATGTATATTTAAGAAAAAAAAACATTTCCAACTCTGAAGAGGCCACAAGATGCTTCTCTCTCCTGTCTCCCATGTGATGCTTTGCAGCATTAGCAAGGACACAGTGTGGCAATTCCGAGGAGTTGGTTCTGCTGCTGGCTCCCTTCTCCTGCTCCTCATCAATGTCCCCTCCACACTGTGCCCTTCTGCTCTGCTCGGTGGGGCAGGAGACATTCGGCTTCCAGGACCTTGGAAAGAGGATTAAACTGCAGAGTGCCTGCAATAACAAGGCACTTGACAGCATGACCTACAAAGACCTTTCCAAACCTCAGTAGGGCTGTCTTGCTCTTACTGCAATAAGATGGTGATAATGAGGTGAAGGATGTGGAGAACGCATCCCCGCTGCTCTCCGGGAGGAGGGAAGGGTTGGCAAGGGCTCTGCAAGAGCAGCGTCACCCTCTCATCTCCCATCGCACTCAATTAGTGCTTCAGCAGATGGACAAAGCTCATCTGGACAAACTACAAGGCTTGTCTGGGATGGATGTGGGAAAGGATGCCCATGTCCTTGTCCTTCCACCTTCTCGCTCAGGCTGTAGGAGTTAGACGAGGTCAGGACTGTGCTGTTCCAAACAATGCTGGTTTTTCTGGTCATGAGGGTGGTACACCATTTGATCAAGGTTTATTCACCTTAAATGCAGGAGGCAAGCCAAGTATATTGCCCAGAAAACACTCTCCTGCAAGGCAAAGCAGTCCCAAGCTGTTGTCACACCAGCCCTGTCTGCCACTCTGTGTTTTCAGAGATGA